GTTATTCTATATATTATACATGTTGTACCGCTACTGTCCTATTGTCATATGTCGATTTTGAACATATTTCGAAATTGGAATGTGACAAGAGAAGATGTTCATTTTCCATTTTTTTTTAGTTTCCTTCTCTATTTCACTCAATTTCGAACATATCTCGGAATTAGAATGTGACAAAAGAAGATGTTCATTTTCCTTTTTTTTTTTGTTTCCTCCTCTATTTCACTCGCTAACGAATAAGTGGTATGAAATATATGTTTAGAAAATTATGTGCGGTTTAAGTGGACGTATGGCATGAAATTGGAAATGATCCTACTGGTTCAACTCACCTTTAAATATGATCTACAGTCTAATTTTCATCCAAAAAGAGTTGAAATGACACAAGATATTCATTTTATAGTGTTCTAGAATAATTGTGATTGTTATGTATGTAATTTTATCACGACAACGTGTTTGAGAAAAAAAAATTGATTCCAAAATAATTATCTTGCACATTTATTGATATAAATAATAAAAGGGAGTTTAATGAGTCCATTCAAATGGCACAAACTATTCATTTTTTTCAAAAGGGACGTGCGGGTGGTCAAGCCTGGCAGTCCACTTTTCAACTTCTTTTTGGTCACCATTCATTTTACTAAGGAGTTGTTGGATAACTATTTCATTTTCAATTTTTATTTTTACTTTTTTAAAATCTGAAAACTTAATCTTATTTGGTAACCACTTTTAGTTTACAGAAAAATAAAAACTAAAAACTCAAGGCCAAATTTTGAAAATTAAAAAAAAAAAAGTAGTTTTCAATTTTAAGATATTTGAAAACAAAAAAATGGTTACCAAACAAGTTTCAGTTTCCAAAGAAGTGAAAGCTGAAAATCAAAAACAAAAATTGACTAGTTATCAAACGAGCTTTAAATGTTATAAAATAATTGTGATTATTTGTAGGTGTTTGCTTACAACAAGTGATTAAAAAAAAAAATTTAACAACACTAATAAAATAACAATCTATGAAAAGTCTATAATGCATTGGTATATAGGATGCAACTCATCGTTGTATTGGTTGACTGGATTGTGACGGTCTCAATTATACTCCCTTCTCTGCTTTATTTATCTTATTCAAATTGAATTGAATTGAATACATTGTTTGCTTATTCAAACTGAGGAAACTTGTTTTGAAGAAAAAGAAAAAAAAAAAAAAAAAACAAAACAAAACAAAACTGAGGAAATTTGTGTTCATCGTCTCATAAAGAATGCCAGGATCGATTGTGCGTGGAGCTGGTATTGGTCGTTGATGCTTTGCAGGAATCCACAAGAAATTAAAGGTTAAGACCTAACACTGCTTTCGTATACTGGTCACATGGCATCACCATCGCCATTCCCATTATATCAGCCATATTACAAGTGAACAGCAAAGACAAAATAATCAAGAAAATGGACAAGGAGAAAAACCTGAAGCCAAGTTTAATTAACTTTTCAGCAAAATCTGCAACTCGCTGATTCACCAGTGGAATCATTTAGGCTGCACCAGGTAGGATGCCCATATATCATCTGCAGGTGGCGGGGGTTGAACCCAATGTCCTGGTATGCGGCTGCACCAAATTTAACCGAATCACAAACTTCTCAAAATCAAGCTATTTATTGGGCATCATACAATGTGTGATAGAAAGGATAGCAGATTCAAAACTTGACAAGAAAAAAACTTCCAAAGGTTAATCATATGGCACCTCGTGTTAAAGTGAGAAATGGGTAGCAAGAAAGAATTGGTGCTCACCTTCCTCTTGGTCTTATATAGGCATCCCATGTTCTTCTCACCTGTGTGCAATATAATCTCCATTATGATCCGAGCGAGTTAAGGAAACAAATTTGATGTCAAAAAAATTATAAGTGGCCCCTGAATAGGCAAACCTAGATACTGCAAGAATTCATTTGGAGGCAGGAAATATACAAAACTCTTTGGACTGGTGCTTCAAGTTACCTCAATAAGCGTGCCCATATCAGTGTTGCTGCCATGATAGTAGTGATAAAATTCAATAGGTAAGTTTACCACAGCATCATAAGCTCCGCTATGTCCTTCTCCCTGTGAAACTTGTTTCCCGTAATCCTTGTTAGCGACGGAAGTAGAGGTCCCTGCATTAGTGCTTGGAGTTGTCTGGTCTTTACTCTCCTTTGTCTCGTCTCTATCGCTGCTTTCATCCTTGGAGTCAGGTCTGACATTCTCGGTTATTTTCCTGGACTGCTCAACAGTTGCTATGGCATCCTTAGCAGCGTCCATATCTGCTGCCAAGATAACTTGTTGCTCCTCTTCCTCAACTGCAGCCCGTACTTTTTCAAGAAATTTATCATCCTCCTCTGGGAGAAAATGACCTACATGGATAAATATGCAGAGATACGAGTTACAGAAATACAGTGAGACTATGATAATGCTGCTGATGATGATGATAATGCGTGTGTTAAAAATATTTGGTTGTACTTGGATGTATATATATACACTAACAAAGATACATAACAAGACACACAGCATCAATATAAACACATCGAAAAACATAGTGTCACAGGCACCTTTGAGATGATGCATAATAACAGAACTTCATTACTAACATATCTACCTAGGCAATTCAAGACACAATGGCAGTCTGAAATAGAAAAACCAAAAATACAGCAAACCTTGTTTCTTCAATTTTTCGATCCTGATGGAACGCAACTGTTGCAATTTCTCTACAATCAATACCGTCTCAAGCTGAAATATGTAATCAATTGTCATCTTGACACTTACCTAAATTTGTTTAAAACCCAAAGGGCAGAACATTACACAATACGAAAATTCAAGTCGAACATGATTATCACCTCGGATTCTAGTCTCTTTCTCTCTTCTTTTGCTTTAAGCTTTGCAATTTTCTTCATATCCTCCATCTGAAAAACCCACAAGCCATGCCTCCATTACTAATAAACAGAAGTTAAGATTGCCTGAAGTAAAAAGGAGCTCAAACCTTGCGTTTGGCAATATCTTTGGCAATTTCCCTAGCTCTCCACTCATCAGCTTCTCGATCAGCTTCCTCGAACCTCTCACGCTCCTAAACACCATCATACGAAATCAAATGTAAGTAATATAGATCAAAACAACTTTTGACATCCCAAATCGAAATTCAAACACAACAGTCTACCTCCGCAATCATTTCCGCAATGCGCTTCCTCTTCGCTTTCCTCCACCGTTTATTCCTCTTCGTCTTGTGCATCTTATTCGCTAACCGCACCACCGCAGACTTCTCCTCCCACGGACACATTTCATGTGTGATCATTCTAAACGGTTCCAGCTCAACTAGCAGTTTCGCCATCAAAGCATTCGCAGCTTCCACTGAGAGCGACACTTGAGACTCCACATTTACCCTCCTTTCTTTCAAATACTCCGAAAACCCACCAACGGAAGCTTCACCATCGTCGGACCCTTTACCTTCTTTGATCAATTGCAGCATCTGAAGCTCTTTCTGCCTACAACAATTCATTCAAATCGCAATTCAAAAATTAACAGAAGATGCAGAAAGTTCAGAAGCAAAATTGAATTGGAATTTTCAATAGTTTGATTTCGTACATTGCTTTTGCGAGACTCAGAGCGTCCTGCAAGTTCTTGAGCCGATCACGGACGTTTGTGGTTTCCCAGAAGGAGCTCGACATTGGCGGGTTGGGCGGCACCACAGGAGGCCACAGAGGGCGGGGCGCCTGTGGTTGGTACGGAATTGGGTTCATGGCTATCGAAATTGGCCGATAAGGAAACCCTAGAGATTGAAACTGGGGACTGATTACGAAACCCCCTACCGAACGGGAGGCGAAGATTTAACCAGTTCGCGCCGTAAGAGTATAGACCAGAAAACGGTGCCGAACTGCTGCGTGATTAAAAATAGTAAGAAACATTATGTTTCAAAGATATAAAATATCGAAAATTAATATTATTTACATAAAAAAAGATTACGAATTCAATTTGGAAGGAGATGAGTAGTGAAATTAAGGAATGTAGTCAATTTGAATTTCAAAAGATTTTAATGGACTATTTTTAAAATGATAAATTTTAAAAGATTTTAATAGAATTTACAATTCTACCTGGATTTTGATGAATTTATATGAATTTTGTACTCATTGTATTGAAATTGAACAAATTCCTAACCCAATTGGAGTCCCTGTTAAAACCCCTCACTGATATTGAAATTAAACAAAACCATGCCCTGATTTGGAAACTTGAAAATCGACTCATATCTTAATTTTGAGTTTCATCAACGTTCGGTTCACCGATATTCTGACGGAAATAGCTTGCAGAATGAAAATCGAAACCCTAACTGCTTAACACTTGAAATCGTAGAAATCGATTGAGGGTTCAAGGCTTTTTGCCATTTTAAGGTTTCAAGGTTGTACTATGTGTGAGACGAGTGTAAATCGATCTGTTGGTTTTTTATGGTCGAATTTGGTCATATATTTTAATGAGCGACAACACTACAAGAAGTCAGGATGGCCGAGTGGTCTAAGGCGCCAGACTCAAGTTCTGGTCTTCGAAAGAGGGCGTGGGTTCAAATCCCACTTCTGACATTTCCAATTCCCATTTTTTTTTTTTTTTAAATTTTTCGAACTTTTACTCGATTTTTGTAATTTTGATCTCGCTGTTTGAATTATACCACCCAAAATTTGATACTTGAAACTTAAAATTGGAATGACGAGACGAATTAATTCTAAGCTATATATGATGACCGCACCCCAAAAGAAGGTCAAAGTTGAAGAAATTGAGTAGAAGTGAGATGTTGTCAACGCATTGAGACAAGAAGTTGTAACCAAACTTACATTACAGCATGCAGAAGATAGGCTAAAGATTTTTCATTGAAGATAACGTGAACGTAGGTGTGGCATAAGACGAATTGTAAATAAGGAGGAGCGGTTTGTACATTCAAAGGCGAATTGTAAAAGTTCATCTCTAAAGTCCGATTCATTGTGCACTCGTCTGTGTCTAGGACTAAAACGGAAAATGTTACTACATTCAAAGTAAGTATGATGAATAAATTGTGTCAAACTGAAAGGTACAAGATGGATTACATGCTACGGTCCCCACAAAATGATACGATTAGTGGAGGTACATTTCCTTCGTGTCCAATCCCTTCTAATCGCTACTAAATGAAAAATCATTCACCTCTGCCTTCAACATACTTTGAACTTATGAAGTATCCAATCCAAGGGAACCCTAAATTCTTTGGCCACTATACCACAAATGGATATGGTTTCCAATAATCCATATCAAGAAGCCTGAAATAAACTCAGAAATTCAACTTAGACTCCAAATTGTTTGTCCTTCATCAGAAGGAAGAAAGCGGATGATTATCGATTAGAGTAGGCCTGTAGAACACAGATAACTTACTGGATTCAGCATATGCACCGGTGGAAGAAAGGGAATACTCAAGAAAATCCGAAATAAAAGCTTACTGAACTGGTTTAAATCTCATGATATCTATGAAATTCACGAAAAAAATCGACAAATCAATGGAAATAGATACTCTCCAAAATTTGTATTGAGATCCAACATGATATGAAGATCAACCGAAAATGAAACTGTGTGTTATGGAGGTTTAGTTTAAACATAGAAAACATATAAATCAAATATCAGAAAAAGACTGCCAAAAATAATATCAAATAGCAAATGAAAAACCTGCTAAAAAGGATGCCCCAACTTATAAACAGAGAAGCCTAATGCAGGGGCGGTATTTAGATGAGCGTCAACAATCATCAACCATGGGTATTGACAGCTTCCCAGGCCAAGTTCTTCGGGACGGGAAGGGCCATGTCCCAAGCCTGCTGGGCAGCATTCCTTAGCATCCTAATGGTAGTCACATTGGCATCCAAGAAGGACAAACTCTTGTAAGGTAAATTGTGCTTCTTGCATAGTTCCTTCACAGTGGGAGAAATCTTCCTCAGCTGGGAACGGGGCAATCGTGGGAACAAATGATGCTCAAGCTGAAACTGCAGGCCACCATAGAACCAGTCCATCCAACTCGAGCACAAAATATCCACGGTACCAGCTGTCTGCTTCTCGAACCAATCGTTGCCAGTTGGTGGTCCAAGATAAGTATCTCCTGTAAAATGGTTCAAAGTGAACTGAATGTGCTGAAGTGCTGTCACTGTAAAGCTCGCCAACACGAACATAAACCTCTCGCTCCAATTAGGCAGACACGAAACAAGGAGAGGAAACCAAGTCCAGAAAACAAGGATCCCCATTATGTTCAAAGCTCTATCTGGGATGCTCCTCTTCGAGAACAATAACAAGAACGTCTGTATAAACAAGTTTACCCTTCCAACAATCATGATTGGATAATACGTAAAATGCTGGTGGCTGACTAAAAATCTAGCCACGGCATCAAACGTCAGCTCTCTTCCGTAAAAGGTTGATGTTATTGACTGAAAGAATTTCGAGGACACGGCAAAAACTGGCATGTGTTGAAGATCAGGATCATAATCAAGGCTGTTGCAGGCAATGTGATGGGCATTGTGAGTCCATTTCCACCAAGCAATGCTGATTCCAGTAAGGCAATTCCCGGCCAGAAATTGAGCGATTTTGTTGTACCTGCGGCTAGACATGACCTGGTAATGCCCGGAGTCATGACCCATATAGGCACCCTGAACCCAGAGGATCCCCAACAAACAACCGCAACCGAAATGAACCAACACACTCTCAGACTTCAACACACCATACACAACAAGGTAAAGCATAACCAGAATACTAATCACCGAGTAAAGAGCCCCATGCCCTTTGTTTTCAAACAAGCCGAGCTGGTTAAACTCGGAAGCAAGCTTCCTGTAATCCTTGGAGACCTCCGAGATCTCGAAATCTTTCAGATAGTACCCAGTGAAGAACTTTCCCAGGTACTTCCATGCGGATGGAGGATGGTAGGCAATGAATCCATCAGTGACGTCCTGGCCGGACATATTGAAGAGAATGGCATCCCCACCCGGATGATCTTTGGCCCAATCAGTGATATTGTAAACCTTGCCCTGGATAGAGATCCACAAATCCGAAGGCTTGTTGTGCAGCTTCAGCTGCTCGACAGTAATGTACTTCTTCTCACCCTCCATTGTTGTCCAATCCTAATGAATTCCAATCCAAAAACAATCAGATTTTCAAAGAAAGGATCCGGATATGGATCGGATAACACAAACAAATCAACCCCAGATAACCCTTTGGGATCTGGGTTCTGGGTTTCGATACAAACACGCAAACACAAACAGTTTGAGCAAAATCCTGCAGTTTTAATGCAAAAAACAGCAGAAATGCAGAGCAAAGAAGGAGAAAGTTTGAAACTTTCTTACAGATTCAATCACAAACCAACAGTTATAGCAAAATACTGCCAGTTATAAAGCAAACATGCACGAAAAAGTATACACAATACAGACAAGAAGAGGAGAAAGATTGAACCTTTCTTCAAGGGTTTAGTCAAAACACACGCTCTTCCCAGCAAAATATCCTCCTGACTTTCCAATCAACTAGACCAAATGCTGAACGGGTTTAGACCCCCATTGCCCCCAAAGTCTTGGGTTTCCAGAAGAAATTTCAAAACCGCCTCCAAGATATTTTCGAGCCTTCTGCTGCTGCGTTTTACAGAGCTAGTGTGTGTGAGAGTATATCTGATGAGAGAGAGAGAGAGAGAGCGCTCCTCTCGTATACAACGCGCTAATGTGTGTGGCAAGTTGTACATTCGCCACGGCCGGTATCGTTGACCAGTCAACGGCTGTGACAAAAACGAAGGGGCAAGTTAGAGCGCGTTTTATACCGCCGGGGGTACCGGCTGGGTGCGGGTGTATGAGTGACTAGTAGAGTAAGAGAACATGTTAAATCGGGCAATTGGCAGCGAATATAAACACCCGTCAATGCATACACCTCTCATCGATAATGTAAGCATCAAAGAATTGTGAACAGCACACTATGTTGAAAATTACATGAATGAATGTGATGGAAGACGATTTTTTTTTGTACCTAATATTTCGGATGTTTAACTGTTGGAATTTGGTTATGGTTTAGTAGTATTCTTTTTCACTTGTAAGTAAGAAATTTTAGGTTTAATTTTCATCAAAGACGAGTTTAAACCACATATTGTGAGGCTAAGCTCACCCCCTTCCTTAGTATGGATAATATCGTTTATTTAAAAATAAAAAAAATAAACAGTTGGATTTTTATTTAAAAAAATAAATTAAAGAATTCAGATTTAACAATTAAAACATATAGAGGACCAAGATTTTATGAAGAATTTTTTGGAGAGGGAAGATGTGTTAGTTTTTTTTTTTTTTTCCTAGCAAAAGAAAAACCTAACGACGAAGATTTGTTCGACTAAAAAAATAACAAGTTAGTTTAAAATGTAAATTATAAGTCCACACATAAAATTAAGCGATTAATAAAAAATATAAAGAAAAAAAATTTATGGAAACATATCAAGTTGTCATACTTTAACATGACATGAAGCTCTGATGTGAGAAGTATAAACATATTCCAAATTATTACTTCCTCTGTACCACTTATCCATCTTCTCTCTCTTTCTTATTGATTAAGTTACCTATCATGTGACGAACGAAGGGTAAAAATTTCCTAGCATCTCATTCAAGTGCAAGTCTCATTCACGCTAAAAAAAGAAAAAGAAATTAGTGCCAGTCTCATTCATGCTAAAATAAGAAGTAACTTAAATGGAATATTTTGGCCTTGATTATCATCCTTTTCATGTCATATTTATCTAAAACACGATATTTATAAGCATAATTTAGTTGACCAAACCATATTTGGTTTAGATGATGACAACAAAGTCGCTCGCTTGAATGTTCTTTTGATTCGAGATGAACGTCATTTTATTAATATTCTTCCCATGATAGGATTAATACTAATTCTAACATTGAAGAACAAACATCTTAACCTAGGACGGTTGGATCTCCTCTTTGAAAACCTACTTCCAACTTTATTAGGATATTCAGGTACCTAATTTTCTCTTATTATCTGTTTTTAAAGAAAGTTTTCGATGTGCTGGAAACCCGGCTTCACATACTTAATGTCATAATATAAGTGGTTGATCTTTTAGAAAATAAACTCGCTCGCTTGAATATTCTTTTGTTAGTATTCTTTTGATTCGAAATGAATGTTATTTTATTAATATTTTTTCTTATATTTATTAATCTTCTTCCCATGATAAGATTAATAATAATTCTAACATTGAAGAATAAACATCTTAACCTAGAACGGTAGGATCTCCTCTTTGAAAACCTATTTCCAACGTTATTAGGATATTTAGGTACCTAATTTTCTGTTATTATCTGTTTTTTAAAAAAAATTTCGATGTGTCGAAAATCCAATTCAATACACCAAATATCATAATACAAGTAACTAAAATTTTCTTTCTTAAATATCCAACCACTAGTTTATAACATTAAATATATAAGGCCATGTTATTGACATACTAAAAAAATATCATCAACCCTCGGATGCAATCACATCATATGCCCCTCTTTTGTGTGCTGTGATTTTATGGGCCACTACCAACAACCAACAAATCAAAAACTTAGTGCTCCAGAAGTGGAACGCATCAATTTGTATAATCAATTAATATAATGTTAATAAACTAATCGAATACCTAATTGGTTAATTATTAATATAAAAAAAATTAGTGGCCAGCAATGGACAGCAGGCAGGCATATGGAAAAGGAACAGATCCTCGGATCCTTTTCCCGGAGATCCTAAAGATCCTGAGAATGAGATCGTATATTGAATATTATGTGATCAGTTTTCATTAAATACTATTTATATTTAATTTTAAATTTTAAAATTTGAAATGATTTCTCAATGCACAATGGACAATGAATGATTACGATCACAAGATCCCAAAGATTCACGAAAAAGGATTTGACAAGAAATTATGAACGTTTAAAGTTTATCCAGTTTCCGGCGAGTTTCCAATTTTCACTTGGATCAGTCAACTTTGAGGCTACTTTCCGACCATCTCCGGCAACCATTGGGCTTCCAAATAGGTATAATTTTATTCTACACTTTCCTATCTTTATTTTGATATATTATAGGTCAAATTTGGTTAAGAAACGATTGAATTATGAAGTTTTGAAAATTGCCCAAACTTCCGGCCAAGAGCTCTGGAATACTTAACGGAATTTTTAACGAAATGACCAAAATGATGGATGATGAATAATCTCAAGGACCACTTTTTTATAAAAATCTTAGGGACTATTTTGGCTAAAAAGCCGACACGTAATGGATTATATATTTTTATTTTTATTTTTCAATTAAAATACAAAAAATTCAAATTATTGAAAATGACAGCATAAGATGAATCAACGGCCAAGGCAGACCACAATCTCATTGCATGTCGCATGCTATTTGTCACATCCAAATATAAATACAGAAAAGGCTTGTACAAAATTATAAAAGAAATTGACATATATTTATCTAATTTTGGACATATTTTTAGAGGGAATTCTGGATTTTTTTACTCCAGGAATTCTAGAATTTGAAATTTGAATGCGTGCTCCAATTATGCAAACTCAGTTTACTATTATGTTTTGTGACATCCCGTCCTGGAAATTATCTAAAACGTGCATGTGAAATGACATTTTTGCCCCTTGTTCGTTCTTTTACGTTTATTGGTTGTTTTTGGTGTTGTGTTGGCATGTCCTTGGGCCACACACACACCCCCACACCTGCACCACCTTCTGTCACTCTCTCTCTCTCTCTCTCTTGAGCCCTATTTCCTTCCTCTTCCTTTTGAAAGTGTACGGACACACACAAACACACTCAACCACTTGCAGATCGAGGGAACCAAGACCACCATCGTGCTTGTGAGGCTGAGAGGAGTCCAGTGGTGCCATTTTCAGGTAAGGTTGTAGCCGTTTTCACGTCGATTCGGCAATGGCAGATTTGTGTACTGTTCATGCAATCATTGATCTAGCACGTTTTTGGAATTTTGAAGTTCATAGATGTCTTTGTGAGGTTCCCAGGAACCTCGGAGTGGTTCGTTGGACGAGATTGGATGTAGGAATCACCTGGTTCGAGCTTGACCGGTTTTGGAGGTTTGTGGACAGGTGAGTTTTCGTAAGTTTTAGCCTTTTAAACTTGTATGGACGTGTTCTACTAGGTTAGGGCTTCATTTTGGTATAAAAATCGTGAAAAACGGTTGAGAAACGAGCGAGAAAACACGATTTGCAGGTTTTCCGGCGACGGCGCCGGAGTCTCGCCGGAAAAGGTGACGGAATATTCCGTCAATTCTGACGGAATATTCCTGACGTCGTTAACGGAATCTGTCAAAACTGACGGAATATTCCTAACGGCGTCAGTTGACGCCGTCCGTGTGCACTGCACGTGCCTGCGCGTGGCCGGCGCGTGTGGCCATGCCTTGGCCGGGGCGTGGCGGCTCGTGCGGCGGAGAAATTTTTTTCTAAAAATATGGTTGTGATCCTGAGGTTGTGTAGAGCACGTTGGTATATTCAATTGTCCATTTTGAGCAATGTATGAGAAGTTATTTTGAACGGAAGGTTATGTACTTTAAAATTAACGTTTTTATAGTATTTTCGCATATAGGTGATACGTATCCCGAGGACGAGCGGGCTCACTCGAGGCAGGGGGGTTACGACCCTTCCACATACCAGTGAGTGGGCTTTTGATTTCTGTATATACCTATATACATATAATTCCCAGAAATTAGTATAAATGCTTGTTATTTGCATGCCATTCCTTTTATGTTATTGGACGATATGCATGATTAGTGGCATATAAGTTGATTTATATATTCATTCATATGTCATATATATATATATATATATGTTGGTGCTGTGGAGGCATAGGTAAGTGCCAGGTAAGCGTTATTTAACCCTTGCATTAAATAGTGATTAGAGGTGCTTAAAGAGCTCATAACCTGCACCTCGGTGTTAGTGCTCCCGCCCGGAGTAGGGCACAGTCCTTCACGTGTTGTTCACCTCCCGCACCACACGCTCAGCTTGAATCCAAGTTAGGTGCACAGTCCTGTCGTACAGACCACTTTAGGTGGTTCCGACTCGTAGGTGACCCGCGATTATTCGCACAGCCTTCACGTGATCGTAGCACTAGAGCGTTATATGTATTACACCCAGGCCTGTCGTACAGACCACTATAAGTGGTTCCGACTCGTGGGCAGGTTCAGTTATTGAGATTGAGATTTGAGCTCTAGATTCAGCCGAACAGGTCACTTTAGGTGACTCTGGCTGCTAGTGCTATGTTACTGATACGGTTTATACCTGAGCACTTGCATATCATTATGAGGCTTTGACATGATATACCTTCGAGCATGATTGGCATATTTATACATACGTATATATGTTTATTTTCTGGGAAGTATACAGGTTTTACAGCGAGGGGTTAGAATGTATTTTATTAAATGGTTTTTAAAGAGCTTTGTTTTTGCCCACTCACGCTTTTGTTTTGCGCCCCTCCAGGTTCTAGTAGCTTAGCGGGTTCGGTGGTTTTCCCAGATGGCGTCTCGGCATTTCTGACAGACACTCACCAGTGTAGGGTCACCTTCGGGTGTACTACTGTCGTATCTTTTTCTTTGGACTGCTGTAGTCTTTATGCTCTGAATTCAGTGTCTTACTTACGCTAGCACTTATTTTATCACATTATATATGCTAGTTTTTA